AGTATGAAACAAGCAACCTAAACTCATGTATATATGTACAAAATATATTTTCATGAAAAATGTTTGAACTAGTAAGCTTATTTATGTGTAAGATTGCGCCCATCTTTAAATGACACGATTCTAAAATGTGTAAAATTGTTTTTCATGTGATTTATATTAAAATGAATTTTCTTGCTCTTAATATTGAAAATTTTAAAACTGTTGAAACTAAACTTGTCCTTGGCAAAGAGACTTCTTACTTTTTGGCTCGTAAGTATCACAGTTTGGTTAAATGCTGATTGGGTATGAAACTGTTGGAGTGCTGAAGATCAAAAGGTTGAAAAAGAAATTAAGGGAAGAGATCACAAAAATAATGAGATATTTTAACATCCATGGTGGAGTGAGCTTCAGTAGTCACATTTTTGTTAGCTGATTAACAATGTTACTGAACAGCATGAAAGAAACCAGTAATATTAGCCAGCCTTTCAATCAGTAGCAAAGCACGTTTATCCACAAGACTAAAAATGACAACAAATCACACAGGTGGTAACGTGAAATGATGTAATCGTAAAAAACAGCTGTTAGAAACACTAAGGGCCTGAGCTGAAGGTAACTTAATGTGCTCCATTTAACTGAGCAGCAGTTATCTTAAAACCACAAAACAACACAACCAGAACTTCACTGTTCAGCCTTTCCACGAGATGGTGCGTTATTCTCAAAGATAACTGCAATGGTTAACAGACGGAAATAAGAAAAAAGCGTGTTCATCCCTGTATTAATTTACCTGTTTTAAAGCTCCCATTCCTGAGAAAACCCAGTTATGCCTCATTCCTTATAAAAAGTATGAATTTATAATTTAAGAATGATTAATGGAATGATTTTTAAATGATTAATGAAAAATCTTGATAAGCAAAGTGACTAATACTGAAGTAACAACCTGCAGTATGGGATCCACCTTCTAGATGATCACAAAGACAAAAGAGGTTACCTGCCAGGCAGCGTAGACCCATTGCACCTACCTTTAACCAATACTGAACTTATGATGAAAATTTATTACTATGGAAAAATATACGAAAACTTTGGGGGAAAAAACGGTTACTTACCAGTAGCCAGAGCTCTTTGCAATGTGTTGGGTGTATGCACATTTGCTCTACAGAGGTCCAAACGTCAGAGGTATCCAAGATCATAAAATGTTTGGCCCGTACAATACTCATCTCTCTACCTTTTCCTTGACTTGACAGCAAGCATAGAGTTATAATATTCTGTCAGCCACACATAGTGAGGAAGGGTATGTGTTTATCACATATATGGACAACACACAAGCAGCTAGCATCTCTTTGAGATGAGCAACTTTTCTTTACGAGCATATCCATATACATGGCCATACCATGAATAATTAAGTGTCCCAGTATTCTCAGAAAAAGGTGGCTGGCAGAGACTTCTTGGTTCTTTGGTTGAAGATTTCTTGAACTAGTTGTCCAGTTTGTAAAGATATGAAACAGATATTATTGAGCAAAGCCTCAAATGTAGTCTGAGAACTACTGGAGTATATCCTGATTACTGATGGTGACTCATACTCTTTTCAAGAGAGGTAATACAATCCATTACCTAGTCTGGAGATGGTTATCTTGTTTCATTTCTCACCTGGTCAAGAGAACTAGATTAATCTGAAAGTCTCTGTCCCATGCAAATAAGAAGACAGTATCACTTGCTACCTAAAGGGAAATCTCAGACTTGAAAATACAGGATTTAAAAAGCAAAACATGGATGGGGGAATTTCCTGATTCGGTGATCTGGCAGAAATCCCAGATGAAGTCCAAGGAATTTGCCAGGAAAAGAACAGTAAAAAGTATGGGAGAGGAAAAAGTCAGCCATCAGGATTTGGATCTGCTGCTGCCCAGCTGTGGTGATGGGCATCAAAAATAACACCAAGGACATGTTTCAAACACCTAAATTTAAACTACCTGATGTGAAACATGACCAAGGTTCTTGTGCTTTTGAGTTAACACATCCTAATAAAGTAGCCTTGACCCAGCAGTCAGTGGTAATGGCAGTCCACATGTTACTGAAGTAGGTTAACTTGTATTCATACAGACTGGGGCACAAAGAGGAAGCAAGAACAGAAATCCAGAGAAAATAAGGTTCTGAAGCCATGTCCTCCAAAACAGTGCTCTGACAAAACAGGGGAAAAAAAAAAAAAAAGGCAAAAAAGCAGCATATCAGCTATGGAAAAGTGGCTAAATACCCATCAAGGGCTACAAGAACCTTGCTAGGGCATGCAGAGATGCGGTCGGGGAGGCTAAAGCTCAGCTAGAACTGAAATTGGCCAAAGATGTCAGGAACAAGAAGAAAGGGTTCTTCAGATACATGAGCAGTAAGCAGCACAGGGAAGACACGGGCCCATTGCTAAGCAAGGCAAGGAAGCTGCTCACTAATAATGCTGACAGGGCAGAGGTTCTCAATATCTTCTTTGCCTCTGTCTTTACCAGCATAGCTGGACTGCAGAGCACAGGATCAAGTAGCTATGACAACAGATGGGTTGACCCACCAGCAGTGGAGGAAGGGCTTAACCCACATAAATCCATGGGCCCAGAGGAAATCCACCCTAGGGCATTAAGAGAAGTGGCTGACATTGGTGCAAGGCTGTAATGTTTGAAAAGTCTTGGAGATCTCGATATAGGGAAGAATTTTTTTACGCTAAGAACAATCAATCACTGCAACAACCTCCCCAGGGATGTGGTGGAGTCTCCATCACTGAGGTTTTCAATTGGACAGGGTGCTAGGTAATCTCATCGAGGCTCCTTTTCCCACGAAAGGTTGGACTGGATGATCTTTCAAGGTCCCTTCAAACCTGGGCAGTTCTATGATAAAGATGGATGAGCTGAGGGATTTAATCGCTAAAGATTTACTTCTGTAGAAACACTGGTATTTTCTCAGCTGTTTCTAGAAGCTGGACAATACCATGTGAGAGACTGCATCAGCTGAATCTTTTGGCCAGCTGTAAACAACAAACTGCGTATCACACCTGAGGCTCAAGCTATGGAGTAAAAGATTTCTGCAAGGATGTGAAAGAGATTTGCACAACATACTGCATTTAGAAGGAAAACAAGCTTTTATTTCCATCTTACTATTATCTGGGTTATGTGAATCTGGAGAATATTGGAGTAAAACTCTTCCAAGAGTACTGGAATGCCTGGGAAACCACCTCCAAAATATTCAGGAGTAACGGTGCCATCAGCTTCCTTAAAAGGTTTAACACTAAAGATTAAATCTCCCATGCCTGTTAGGGCCAGAAGTGGGTTAGGGATAGCACAGGGCTAGAAAGCAGGGTCAGAATTTCTAAGAACCGAGTTAAGAATGATATACCTCCCATCTGCAACTTGGTCCCACAGATGGCAAGACGGGCCTGTAACCACTGGGGAGAGAACACGCACAGCATATTGGCAGCAACTGTCTTTCATATTTCCATAAACCCTACCGATGAGACGCATACCTCCTGAGATGCAGAGAAGTAGTCCTCATACTGCTCTCCAGGGAACACAGATGAAAAGCTTGAATCCTGCGCCCTTTGAAAGGTGGAATGTGGGAAGAGCTCAGCTGCCATGGCCAGATCCAACACTGAAGGCTGTCCTCCAGCAAGTCAGTAAGTGCCAAAGCAGAGCAGGGGGATGGTTCCATCCTATCTGGGGTCCTCAGCACTGAGTGCTTTGGTCTGTGGTATCGGATATGACCGATCCTATAGTTCAGTCTCAGATTACAGAGCCCGGGCAGAGAAAGATCTAAGCGGCTCAGTTAGTGGAATTAAAAAGAACACAGAAATTCAGTGTCAGAGGCAGTTCCCCAATTCTTTTTGGCTAGTTGAGATCTTCAGGTGCTGAGAAAAACTACAGAACTCGCCCCATGCCTCATCTAGTAGTCTCTTGGTGTTAGGGTGGCCTTGGAGCTGGTAGTGCAGAGTGAGCAAAAGCCCCCATTTAAGCTGACCTTTTGGCTAGAGCAATTTCTGGTGCAGTCATGTATTTCTTGATTGGGTGAGGCTCTTCCTCACCCAATGTTGCCAGAGAAAGAGAAGGTTCATGATCAATAGAACTTAACCTTGATCCAAGATTTAGATAATCCTAAATGCTAGTGTCAGAGGTAGACCACCACTTTTACTAGGATACTTCTCTCATTTTAAGCAACAGGTATTGAATGTACTAGGGATGTATAACCCTGTTGCAAAAGGAAGCAAGAAGCAACCATATGTCAGTGTTACTTGTCAGTGAGGCACATGCCTCAAGATAGAAAAACATTTAAACCCATCCTTAGATGGAGCTACGGAATATGATTCAGGCAACATACATGAAGTATCTAGATCCATTTCTAATAAGGAAAGGAAAAGCAACAGAGACCATGCTCCCATAGGGAGGGGCACTGGATTTGACAAACTCAAATTTAAAAAATAATTGTACGAGACTGGCTGGAAAAGAGAACTACATAGCCAAAGGCTAACAAGAATAAAAAAATAACGACATGAACACAAGTTAAGAAGCATCTAGAATGCCTCCATCGTTGTGCACTGAGTATGAAAGAGGGAGAAGCAGCGTGAAAAAGCTTTAACTTCTGAGACCAGAAAAAACAGGATGCTGTCTTTGAATACCTGCAGTATACACTTCTCTGTTAGTTTTTCATAGTATAAAACAGCTAATGTCTACCAAGATGTAATACTACAACACAGTATTCCTTTGCATCCACATAACAGTCAGTAGTGACCCTTTGCTGCTTCATTTTTGATTAACTGCATCAAAATTATCATCAGAATATTTATGTGAACCTCCTCTACTTTCCCTGCACTTGTAATGGTGTCCAGTGTTTCATCCAACAAGAAACAAATCTTTTTTCAAAACAACACGAAAAAACTACGTTTGGTTATAAAGGTCTCGTTTCCATGGAAACACTGGCCTTTTCAGGATGTTTGATCATGTATTTTCCATTTGATCACTGAGAAAGAACTAGTAGCAAAACACTGAAAACACAACTCAGAGAGGAAAGTTAATTTATTTGTCTAAAACATCAAACTAATTTGAGATACCTTAGTTCAGTCAAAGCTTCTTCAGTTTCTTCACAAGCCTGGACTTCATAAACAAATATTCCAAGTTCATCTATCTACAAAAATAGGATGGACAATTCTTGACTTTCTTCAGATATCATTAATTTACAAGTCCTTGAAGATCAGATGAAATATAGGAAGCGATCCTATATTCCTTAATACACTCCATCACGTTTCCCAAGTGTACTGGAAAGGAGAAATATCAGCCTTCTTTGGAAAGGTGCACGGGAAGGCTTATTGCCATCTCTTGGAGACAGGGTATGCATTTACATCACCATGACTGCCATGGTGCAGAATCCTTGATTGCTACTTTTATACGGCATGACCAATTATCTGAGAGTTGTAGTCCGCTGTCTCCATTCGTAGAATATATGGGATGATGCTATCAATCTGAACATTTCCAATTAGTCCTGCGAAGAATAGCTCTTCAGTGATGGCAGCACTCATCAGCCTAAGAGCAGGCAATCGGAGAAGAAGTCTAGACAGTCTAGAAAATAAGTTTGGTAAAAAGCGTTACTTGTGGTCACAGATTTTAGTGTTATTCACAATCATGTTATCAGTAAGAGAAAAGAAAAAACTTAAGGGATAATATTGGTCAAAATTTGCTCTATCTAGTTCATTAAAGCCTTTAATATTTAAATCAGTAGAGTATTAAATTAAAGTTCAGTCATGTCTTCAACAGTACAAAAAATGTGAATATGCCAGTCGGTCACATGGACTGTATAATGTCTGGACTTAGAATGAGGAAATATTTCAAGTAGGTGCAGTTCAAAATGAAAACATAAAAAATATTTATTTCCAATATTTCATTTTGGAAATTAATAGTTAATGAGTAGATAAATAATACAGTCTATTGAGTACATGCATAATATTTCAAGTTCTCTAAAGGTAATTTCTTACCTTTAAGGAGGTAAGAAGAAAATGTACATATATATTACAAGAAATAGTGTACAAATCAGTGTCACTGATGCTCTGAAAAGAGAGTTTACAGACCTGTAAGTATCATCTGGATATGCTTTTGTTACATAGTCTTGGAACTCCATGTAAGCCTTTTCTTGAAATTTCTCAATCTGTACCACATTTTCTAGACCTGGGTGATCTGAAAAAAACACTCTACATTGTTATACCTGCTCTATATAAGATGCACTAAAATCCATACAGACTATCTAATTGTACGCATACTGAAATCATTAGTTGGTAGGTGTAGCAACTTCAGAGTTTTAGTGGAGGACACTGCTTTACCTCCTTGTATTTCTTTTCCTCTACGTTTATGTTTTACTTAGTTTTTTTATAAATACAACCAGACATTTTGAAGAGTTCAAATAAATTCAGCGCTTGCAATGTTTACATCAATCCTGATGATACAGCTCTGTTCTCTGTGTAGTAGTAGAACAGCATCGTTTCAATACACGAACAATTATTGGAATATTGTACACACAAACAGCATTTGGGTGGGAAGTGAAGGATAAAATTAAGATCAGTGGAAAAAAGCAGAATAAAAGCCTATGAACCATTTGTTTCCTAAAAACTGTAGAAGATATGTAGCAGATCATTCTTTTTTTTCAACTGTGGTGCAAAATTTTCAAACATGCTAGTTTTTAGCAGTGATTTAAACACTTGAAATCTAAATCTTGCTAAAATGAAAGGATATTAACCTAACTGCCAAGTCACATTTGGAAACTATTATCTGGTAATTCTGAACACTTTACATGGTCTGTAATTTTTATTATCCATCTATCTTAATGTAAATATGTTACCGTCATAATAGCATGACAAATCATGCAGAATTTATTTTTCAGAAATGGGATCATAAATTAATGCCAAGTTATGTCAGATAAAAGATTATTTCCAACAGCCACTCCTTCTCTCCAAATATATGGCCTTCTGTCAACCAGGAGTTTTTGGTCTAGCTGTGCAGATACGGAAGCTTTCAGAGCAATTTAGCAGTTATGTGATGCATTGGACTGTATGACGGAACACATAAGTTCACAGAGAAATATTTTGTCCTATACAGTAATTCAGTCATTCTGAAAGCATGATTTCAAATTTATGCAGAGGACAAGAGGTTAACAAGGTCATAAAGAAGCAACATATTTTGAAGGGTTGTTGTTGACGTGCCATATGCATTGCTTCATGACGCTACTTTTAAAGCAATGTCAGAAACACAGCTAGAAGTCAACTTCCAAAAAACAGTAGTTTAAAGGCCACTGCTAGTGCACTAGTAGCCATTTATAAAGATGCAAAGTCTTCTAAGCACTCCCTTTACACTCATCTCTTTGCCCAAGGCTGTCTTGTGACAGTCAAACAGCTGGCTTGACACAGAAGATTTTCTGTACTCTTCAAGTCTCTAGCTATGGAAGACAGCAAATCAGCAGGGCCTACTAAAGCAGATGTTCTTACCTTAGGACTGCTGCATGTGCAGCCCAGCCCCGTCCTATAGCACAGCAGTAAGATCCTCAAAATTGTAATTTCTGGCCTGCGAATCGTTGCCAGAATATCCCTTTTGTTCACGGTACTGAACGTGACTTTCAGGTTTACAAAGATTTTGTTACGTGGCTCATAGGATACAAGAATATTGACAACACATTGCCATTAAAGCAGCTACACATCATTAGGAATGTGATCCTGAAAGCATGTGAGCTAAAGAAAATTCATCTCATCACGTGACTGGATATAGTGTTTTCCCAAGATCTTTTTCCTTCTACCTTTTCTGTTGTCAAATGTAATTGGACAGAGACAAATTAACTTCAGACTAAACAAATAAGTAGATATTGCTTTGCAAGTGTATGCTTTCTAGAGAAATATTTTCTGGTTTCTAATGACTGATTTCTTCAGACAGGCCACTAAATTCTGACGTAAGTCCTAGCAGACATAGTGCTAGAAAAATGGGCTTGAAGTATTCTTCCATCATTTTGTTCTGAATCCTGGAATGGCATGGAAGGACTACTTTGGGGTAAAGAAAGTGTCCTGCAAGCACGATCTGCTAAAATTAAACAAGCAAACACCTTCCCACCTCTACTTCAAGATTATTTTCTGTAGTGAAAACACTCAGTATCTGATTTTCCTTAATGATCCACAATAGAAGAATATCTCTGGAATAGCCTCTGGGAAATTCTCATCTTTACTCCAGGGTCCTGACATTGCTGCTTCTTATTTGCAAGAAGGTCTTCCATTTCAGAAGTCTTCCATTAATGCAATTTAAAAAAAAAATAGAAATGGAAGATATGTAGGGTTCTGTTATGTACTCAGATGTG